AAGAGCGTCTCGGCCAGGGGGGCTCACCCGAGAGATGGACGCAAACCTAGAGCAACGTCACGCTGCCGGGGGGCACCAGGTTTGTGGGGGGGTTTTAAACGAAAAACAAGGAGGTGACGTCTCAGCTTTGGATCCAAGAAGAAAGCTAGGCCTCCCCGTGGTGCCTCTCAACTGAAAACACTCCAGCTTCCAAGTTCTCCTTACGATTCAGGAAGCTGACGAAATGAAAAAGTGGCAAAGAGATTTAAATACAACCCATTTAACAACAGGGAGGGGGGAAACCTCCGGCCAGGGGGAGATGTAGGATTGCTCTGTTCAGATCCTGCACAGCTGTACACCGAGGACATCCCCTGGGGCAGCTCTGCAATGAAAATGGCAGCCTGGCTGCGAGCCAGGGCATCTGCCAACCTGCAACAGCGCTCCTTGCCCAGAGGAGCTGTCCTGCCAGACAGGTCCCACGTGTCCAGGACTGCTTTATGGCTACGAAAGAGCCAACAGACCAATTCCTCCCCTCACCAGCACATGCATTAGGCATGAAAAAGCAGTTTGTGGGCAGGAAGTCTCTCTAGAGGACTAAAGGCACTTCAAGCAGTAATCCCCTTCCTCCACAGTCTGAATGTGCATCTGCATTCAGGATGCTCCCAGAGGGGGATCAGATCCTAAGGCCTCAGAAGGTACAATCAAGCAGAGGAGCATGGTCAGAAACCAGTGTTAGCCTCCCAGCGCTTGATCCTGCTGGCTACAGAAAACATCAGCTCCCTATACCTGAGCAATACAGGCCTCAGTACACAAATGACTACGTGTCACCTGGAGGCCAGAACCGCGTACGCAGGAGTCTCAGATAAGCCTGTAGCACCATGGTACGATGGTGTTACAGGTGTATCGCCCCAGACTCCTGAATACCTGTGCGAGGCTAGTGCTTCCGCCAGGCATTGGCTTGGAGAGTTTATTAGAAAGGACAGACAGGCCAGGGGCCAGCTTGAAGCCAATGGCAGAAGCAAAAGCTCTGCAAGGATCTAATGAACACAGACCCTGAACAGATCCGGTTGGCCAAACAGCATCTGAATACTCTTGGCAACAGAATCCCTGACTTCTTGTGAGTGACCCCCACAGCTGTACCCAAGCAGGGGGATGCTAAGGTGCCAATACGTTTTTCCACTGCAGGAGCGCTGAAGTCTCCTGGGATTTTCAAGTCATGTCCAGCTGTTCCCGTCTCATGCTGGGGAAAGCTCGTCTCTCACTGTGTGATGCAGTTGTCTCCCATATCCTGAGCGTATCTGTCTGGTATCGCTGTCCTTAGGTCCTCAATCTCTCTGTGCAGCTGCTTTACCTCCGTCAGTGTTTTTGTAAGTCCATCTGGGCTCAGCAAGTCTGCCTTCTCCTTGGCCGAGCACTGCACAGCTACAAAGTTAGAAGATTAACACGCATCAGACATGCCGCTCCAAGCAGAGGTCATGCACGTTAGTGAATAAGCCACTTCACCCCAAATAATACAGCCCTATTTTAGACCCAATTAGATCCAGGAAGCCAAACTCCTTAAAGCAGGTGGCAGAATAGAAAAACCAAATCCAGAGAGAGGTTGGCTTCTAAGGCCCTGCAGAGGTCAGAAACCTGGTGAAAAGAAGCTACTCTCTATATGAGCAAACTATTTCATGCCAGCCCAGCACAAGCAGTGAAGGCCTCTCTGAGCTTCAGCCCCGTGTGTACTTACTGTGAATGCCCAGGAGCAGGGAAAGGTTGGGATCCTTGCCCTGTGCCCTCTGAGTGACAATGCTGAAGACAGACTGCAAGTCCTGCAGGCAGCTGGTCAGCTCGCTGTGCAACTCGTGGGCGAGATGAGCGGTCTCCCTGGGGAGTGGCTGGCCCAGCTCTGCTTGCCGAAGTCGTTCCTGCAACGTCAGATTCTTTTCGATCAGGTCCTGGTTCTGCACCGAAAGCTGCACAAACAAGTGCAGGGTTAGATCAGCTGTAACAACAGCATTTGGTTGCACACGGATGTCAGGCTCCCAGGTGGCCTCCCACTGGACACAGAGCATTCCTCTGCACAGCCCAGCCCAAGAAGGGAAAGTCAAGACTTGTATTTTCAGGTATCATCCAAGTACACAACAGAGTCAGTGTGAGATCTGGCTCTGGGCATTTTACTCTGGGAATGCTTCTAGCCCTGGGAGCAGGGACTTGTGCACTCAGCAGTCATTTCTTTTGCTGATAGCAGTGTTGGAGACCAAATAATATTAGAATCCAGACAAGGGACTTGAGCCATTCAAGTCTGGTCACAGATCGGTACAACTGAGGCCCAAACTGTATCATACTCAGTTTTTAAAACAGAAACTACTCATACAGGAAAAAGAAAAGGTAACCACAAGTCAGGCACACAGTGCCTCATCCCCCTCATTGCATGGAGGACAGAGTGGAGGCTTCCAGACGATGGAACCCCCACCTGAACTCCATTCTCTCAGGAATCACTCTGTGCGCTTCTGCATCCCTTAAAGCTGAGATACAACCTTGAATCTTTTTAGCTGGGCCTGTGAAGCTCTAATTTGCAGTAGTGGCGAAAGGCTCCTTGGCTGCACCCTGCTGGCCAAATCAAGGCAACTCTGCAGCCAGATTTACAGGGTTGTGAAAGCGGGGACAGACAGTCAGACGTGGGTGAAACCAGGAGGGGAACCCTGCTCAACAGCAGTAACAGGACACTGGCAAGCTGCACTGCAAGTGGAAGTGCCCACAGCTGGTTAAGAGCCTGGCTCTAAGACACTTCATTGTTCATGCCCCCAGAGCTCCAATTCTGACCTCCTTCACAGCTGTGCGTAGCTGCTGCAGTGCATTCTCTCGCCGCATCGCTTCCTCTTTCAGAGCTTGGCTGGTTCCTTCTTCCTGGGCCACCTGGTTCTCTAGGCTCTGGAACAGGCCACAGGAGATAAGTTAGTCCAGTGCTGCTCAACCTCTGGCCTATGAAACCATGTCATGTGGCCCACGAGGATCTCCCTTTCTCTGGAAATTGCAGGGAGCCATGGCAGTTAACACTGTGGCAGCTCCCATAGGGACAGACAACATGGCCCATGCACCTGAACCAGCTGCGCCTAAAGACTGACCCACACCACTCATCTGGCCTGAAGCCCAGAAAAGTTGGGCACCGATTAACTAGTCCAGCAGAGCTGATAGCAGATACTTGCATTTGCAGTCTGTCAGCATGAAATGCTCACCTTGACTTGGGAAGACAACTGCTCCATCTTCTTCTGCTGCTTGTCCATAATCTGCAATCAGAGGCAGAGGCATTAGGGACATTTAAAGAGCAAGTTTGTATGTTCAGCTCATCAATCCCCCTTGGGATTTTTGCTTTGTCTAACAGCTCAATCTTGCTCTTTAACCAAGCTGTACTTCAAGTGCTATTACTCCCAGATGGAAGACACCCTTAGAAATATCAGTTAGGAACCCAGAGGTTGCATTCTTTTGGTCTTTCCCTCCTCCAGATGCCTCCCCTCCCTGTGATGTTCAGGTGAATGCTGTAGCACTGCATTGTTATCATACCAACGGCAGCTATCAAAACCCTCCCAGCACAGCATGCCAAGAGCTGCTAGATCAGTGCGCTTGGAAGCACATGCTCAGCGTTAAGCAGAAAGAAGCTTAACCACTGATGTGACAATGGAAGGGAGGAGGAATCCGAGTCGACACAGAGCAATGCTGCCACTGTCTTGTTGGCAGGCTGCATTACCTTCCTGAGTCGGTCGCATTCTTTCTGCAGAGAATCCGATTCTCCTTGTTGTTTCTCCACCTCCTGAACTGAAGTTCCCCTCTCTGCACTTGTCATGCACTGCTGCACCTTGTCCTGCAAGCTGCCACAAACAGCGCATTGAGCAGACGGACAGAGAACAAGAGATTCAACAGGACTTGGGACTGGAACAGAGACAGGAGGGGAAGCAGTGGGCAAAAAGCTTCTCCTTACCCTGTCCTCCTTGGGACTTTTGGGAACCTCCTTGTGGGGAGGAAGATAGGTCAGTCCCCAAGATACAGCTAATCCTCCCCACTCTGTGCCAAAGCTCTCGGTCATTCTGCTGCAGTTTGTGGGATGCAGGCACCTGCTTGGCAGCAGCTGGAACACGTACCATGGGGCAATCCCAAGCCATGGCAGATTAAGGAGTCACACCAAGGGCAATCTCCAGAGAATCAATAAGTGCCCAGGGCACAACTCTGCTGCAGTGGGGAGAGGCACCTGACTCACTACTCCCCGCAAACAGGGGTCTGGCATGACTGGTCCTTGCTGTTAAGCAGGATCCATCTCCCTCACTGGAGGATTTACCTGTGCACAGTGGAAAGCAGCTCCAGCTCCTTGCGCTTCTGGGCCTCGATCTGTGCCTCCTGCTCCCTGCACGTAGCACGGACATCTCCAAGCTCTCTCTCCAGCACTGCCACCGTGTCTTGTAGAGCAGCAATCTTCAGCTCCGACTCCTTTAGCTGCAGCAGAGAGCACCACTCAACAATTCCAGCTATTTTGCCATATACACCATGTCAGGGCTCAGCTAGTGACTAGCTGGGATTGTTACTACCCGTTTGCAGCCTAGATCAGGACGCTTTTTCCAAAAGGCCAGTTTGCACTTCTGCTTGGCTAAACACCTGGATGGGGTTTTGCAGCGGTAAACGAGAGCTCACACCTAATTCAGACCGGCACCTTGAGTATCCCAGGCACACTGTCTTACCTGCTGATTCTGCTTCTGATGATCCTCCAAGGTTGGCAGATCAGCCAGATACCGCTCGAGGGTCTCAATCCTCTGTTGCTTCTCCCGGTTTTGCTCAGACTCCTTCTGGCATTTCTTTTTCAGGCCGTTAATATGTCTGTCTCTCCCTTTTACCTGCAAGGGGAAAAAATTGAAAGCGTGGCTTGCTTAGGCTACAATTTCCTGTGCATCCACAGCCTCCTCCTCTGTTTGTCCCACTATCATTAAGATACCTGACCGAGAAGAAAAGCTGTTAAAATGGGACACTTGCCCCCCCCCAAATGTCTTGTTTCACGTGTCTGCTAGTGACTTGGTTGCCCTGAGATAGTGAAACACCCTAGGAGTTCAGAAACAATCAAATCTGCAACTAGAGTAAGGAGCTGGTCTGTGCTCCAATTAGAAACCCCCTATTGTATCTCTTCTAGATTATGAAGTAGCTAAGAGCCATCTTGGCCCTTACAGGGGCTGCGTACAGTTTAAACTACAATTACAAAGATACAGTTATGCACCACAGGACATAGCCCTCAGACTTCTGGCACACAGTTGGCAAGCCTCTTAGCATTGCAGTGTGGGAGGGCTCTTGCCCCCCATCTTCAACAAGCTCTTTTCAAGTCACCCCAAGAACTTCAGGAAGTGCTACGTGTATTGAAGAGACATCTATCAAGGCAGCATAGCAAATTTTCCCATCCACGGCCAGCCCTGTGGTTTTCTTAAGTCTACTTAGCACAAACAACAGACTTGCATGCAACTTGCTTCTCCAACTGTAAAAAGACAGGATCGTTGCATTCGATAGGAAACAAGAGAGAGAAGCCCCTTCAACTGCTGCGAGGAGAAAAGAGGAAAAGCCTGTTCTATTCTGTGGGTGCAATTAAATCAACATTAACTACGCTGAAACTGTTTGCTCAGTGAGGAGTGAAGTTCCAGGAGTATAAGCCATCGATCAGACTTTACCTTGAACAGAGGAAGAGATTTTGTGCCCAGGGAGGGCATCCAAACTATTTGTTGTACAAACCCTTGAACACTCCATGGTGAAGCCTTAGTCATATGGATTTATGAGCAAAAACGAGTAACTAGCAATAGCTCTAGAGAAGTCTTTTGGCCTTTGCCTCAGTTCTGCCTCCCAACAGACAGGAAGCGCCCATGGGTACATCGACTGATCAGTCACCCTCTACTTGAGACACGGCGGATTGGAAGGCTCTACAGAGTCATGTTGGTGAAGTGCTCTGAGACGCTAGGAGAGGGCTCAGAAGTGCCAAGTGTTCTACACTGCAAGCAAGCAGGAACAGGCAAAGCTACAGCAACTGGATGTTACAGAGAACAACCGGGTTGGAGGTTTTACTTTGCACCTTTTCCAAAAAGAAGCCAGTGCAACTAACAGTCTGCAGGTTCCCTTTGGTTGGGGCCACAAAGTGTCCAAAGAGCAACGGAGGCCACAAATACCACCCTGACAACAAAGAGCTCTCATCAGCCCAACCACTGCACCAGCATTTCCAGTGGGACTCATACCCGCTCTTCCTGCTTCTTTACTTCCTCTGCATACTTCTGTACCGTCTCCTTCATCGTCTCCCGAATACGCCTCGTATCCAACTCGGAAGCAGCCAGCTTTCTCTCCAGTTCGATCTTTTCCTTATTAAGGGAATCCGTCTTCTCAGTGAACTGTGCCCGCAGGAAAGTGTTTTCCCGCTGCAGCTCCTGGAAACAGAAGACAACCTGTCACTGATGTCAAGGCTCCTTGCTGCAAGCCAGACCCACCTGTTACACAAGACGGCCATTCCCAGAGCAGCAGTTCCAGCTCTCCAAGAGATTCATCAGCTCTTCATCATTTTATACACCTGCCCTATCACCAGGCGCACTGCAGGCTGATGGCGTTATGCTACTAATGCTAGCAGCTACCACTTACATTTTTTTCTGTGGTTCCAGAAGTCCGGAGACCCTTACCACCTTCTGAATAAACAGGAGATGAACCAAGACAGACAGACCCCAAAGGAGGGACTTTCCTGCATGCTCCTCTGGCTTAGGAAGACCTTACTGAATCAGAACTGAAGCCAGTGAATTCAGAGCATGCTGTTTTCAGCTCTTCCCTGGCTGTTCCCACCTACCTGCAGCCTCAATAAGCAAACGTCTCCGTAGGGGGTAGAACAGCCAAGCAGAGCACTGTGAACCTGCAGCTCGCTCTCTCGAACCTTCTGCTCCAGCTGGGAGATGTGTTGCCTCTGCCTAGCAAAATAAAAATCAGATCTGATGAACGACCCCTTCGCCAAACTACCCCTTACTGGTAACAGAGGGAATAATGCATGTCGGCTGCCGTGAATGATTTGCCATCAAAACACAGTGCCGATTACTGCCTTTGTTGTCAGTGGGTAGAGAACACCATTTGGGATTGTGCCTGGTTTTGCCTCTTGGATGGTAAAAAAACCCCACACAAATATTCTTGTGAGAAAAGTCTGATCCTTGCTGATTTCACACTAAAATTCAAGTCTCCCCTGCCCGGAGGACTCTATTGACTGGAGAAGTAACTGATGAAAAGGACCAAGACTCAAGCTGACTAAGTGAGCAGGGAAGGGATTTTCAGTCCAAATGCTTAAGCTCTGGTTTCAGTAGTGCCTATTCCAGCATTAACAGCCAAAATTTGGGAAGAGCAGACCTATGGTCAAGCCTCCCCAGAGCCACATCATGTAAAGTGAGACTAAAATGAACATCCCTTATACACCTGAGAGTCCTCCAGCTGGGCTGAGAAGAGTACCCTTGACATTCAGAATATTCTGAATGCAAATGGGCAGGTTAAAGGCTAAAAATCTTCTACCTTTTTGACCACCACCAAGTAGGGAAAAGGCTTACAAACACAGATCATCTTTAACTTGACAAATAGATTCAGCTTGAGAGGATCTTCAAAAAAAACCTGCAGGCTCTACTTCAGTAACCACCTGTTCTCACTGGCTTGTAAAACATTATCTTCCATGCAATAGTTCCAAAACCTCAAGGGAGGGAAATAGATTTCTTCAGTTTGTTTCTAGCAAACCTCAGGAACATTTCTCTACTTTTCTTTTTTCACTCCCTCCTGCAACTTGTCCTACCTGTCAATGAGGAGCTCTTTCTCCTTGAGTAGATTGTCATTGGCGCTCAGGATACTGACCCACTGGGCTGGATCGACTGAATGCAGCGGCGTGGGATACATTGAGGAATGGTTGCAAGCAACTCCATTTTGTAACTGAAAGGGGACACAAATTAAGAGGGAAAGGCTTAGGTTTCAGTGAGGTAATTGCAACACCGCTCAGACCGTGTACACCGTGTGCTTGTCTGCATGCCAGTACACAACTATTTCAGGCTGCGTCCAAGCTCTGGGAACAAATAAAACTCTGGGTGGGTTTGGGCAGAGTTTATTGAACCGTTTTAGATCACTGTATGTTATTGGTCAAAGCCAATGGTTTGTCATTCCATCCCCTACAGCTGCGCAATAAACAGATGGCTCCCCACAGCCATGGGATGGGGGGTGAGAATTAAAAAAAATTAAAAAAAATCAAAAAAAAAAAAATCAATCAATAATTGTAATAAGGCTATGGACAAATGTATCGGTTAGCCACTTTAAAAGGCATCAGCTCTTACGTGTACCCACCCCATCTGCACAGGCTGCAGCCATGCAAGTGAGACAAACAGCTATAACCAACTCCGTTTCATTCAGGGTTTAAATTGCAACAGATTTACTACACTTTTATGGCTACAGAAGCAGGGAAGCAGTAGTTGCATCATAACAGCTTGTATCAGTATCTTTTGATATCAATCACGTGTTATGTCTGTCTATATCTTAGCTTTAGATATTGGGCGAGACTCTTGTCAGCTGGCATACCGACTACCATCACTTTCTGCCCACGTACGCTCTTTGGCAAAGGAGGATCACTGCCTTATTCGAGCCTGCGGAGTGTTGCAGACAAACAGAGCAGCTACATAATGTTGAAGCAGCGTGAAAACTTACGCTGACACATTCAGCGTACGCCGGTAACTGAAGGGATGTGTTAGTATAGAGAGGAGATAGAGGCATGAGATGTTTCCCCTTGACCCCAGCAGCCAGAAACTGTGGTCACTTCACACATTCTTGTAAGAAAGACGGAGGGATTTATACACACATCTCCCTACCTGCATCTGTTCTACGCGCACTCTGATGTTGTCCAGCTGATGCTTCCACGTGCCAAGGTCACAAACCTTCTCATGCGGATGCCACGTGCAAGGTTCTTGCCTCCATGCTTGTGCCTGAGGAGCCCCTGGCTTTGAAAAGATGTTATTGGGCTGAAGTCCTACTGGCGTGGCTCTGCTCCCACGAGGCCATGTCCCGTTGCGGGGCTCACAGACTCCACTAGCCCCAGGTGCAGTTTGCGTCTCTGGTAGCACTTTATAAGGCTCCTTTGCTGCATCGGCGGCAGCAGTGCTTGGATTGCATTTCTGGAACTTGCGGTGAGGATCAGAGCACAGATTATCCATCCAAAGAGACCGGTTAAGGGTGAACTCAAGGGCAGGCATGTCAAATTTCCGATTATCTTCCACTCTCATGTGCTCAGCATGGGGAAGCCAGGACTGCTCAAAACTGTTTTCCCCGGAAGTCCCATAGAGCTGCAGGAGCTCCCTGGGTGGCCCTTGAGACAATTTTACAGCATGAGGGTCTCCGTTTCTTGTCAGCCCTGCATTGTCAGTGGAGGATGCTGACAGAGCTGGTTTCGATGATAACGGCACCTTCTGCAAAGAGTTTGGCTCTCCTGCGGAGCAGAACTTGGAAGGCGACATGCCCAATGTGGAAGGCATGACATGGGCTGTGGGGATGGTCACTTGGGTTTTAATGGGCTGGAATGAGGTGCTGCCACTGGAAGTGCAGAAGTCTAGGGGGGGAAAAAAAAGAATAACCTGATAGTTGTAACAAACATCACAAAAAGAAGCAGCCACCATTGCTAGTGGTTCCACAGTTATTTCAACCCATCCAGGAGCAGGAGCTCACACCCAGGGCACATCTGCCTCTCTCAGCATTACAGATTTCAGGAGCCTGCTATTTTCCTGTTACAATGCCTCACAAAGGGCCAGTCCAAACTAGCAGTTATCCAATATCATTGCTCCTTTATTGCAGAATCGTACGAATGAATTCCTCTGTCTGCTCATTTACACACCAGTCCCCAAGAGGTAAGAAAAAGGCTGAAACTTACTGGCAAATTGAGCACGGAGGCCTTGATTACACTGTGCTCACCCCACAGCACAGCAGTTCTCAAAAGCAACCAAAAGCAAACAGGAGCCTTCGCTAAGCCTGCAATAAGCTTAAGGTTCAAGTGCCGCCGAACACTACGCCACCAAGCACCTGACCTTAAGAACTCTCCTGGGACATGACAGCAGAACTAGCCTTTCCCGGGGGCGCGGTGTCACGGCCCTGCCCCTCCAGCTGTAGGAAATGAAAGCGAGCAGAGAACACCAAGGGTGCAAATCTGTCCTGTCACACAGCCACCAAACCTGCCTACATGGAAAGGAAAAGTTATTCTTAGAAAGTCTCAGGTTTCAACAGAGCAGAGCAGGGGCTCAAGCAGGCAAACGCTAAAACAACTTGTTTTACCCTGTTGATCTTTCCCTGGTCCTCTGGGATTTGGACACCACAGTACCAAGGTCAGGCTTTTCCCAGAGGGACTTGTTTGTTTTCTCCATGGCTTTTGCTCCGGGTTAATCCCCATGTGATATTTCTCCCACCCAGCTTGAGGGCAATGAGCTCATTCTCACATGCTCATATCAGGAAAACACTACTACGAGAAGGAATAAAAAAGGCACAGTTTTAGTACCACTAGAATGAGGATCTATATAAGACAACATCGAAAGTCTCAAGCTGCATAAAACCTGTTGCTAGGAAGGAACACCAACACATGGGCAGAGGTGGGGGGGAAATCTCTGCACACAAAGGCTTGGCCTAAAGTTTCCTCAAGAGAGGAAATCTCCATCCAGACAGACGAGAAAACATTTACTTCCAGATAAACAGACAGAGTCAGGGCCAGTTTCTTCTCTCAAATCCCCTAGCTTACTTGCAACATCCTCACCTTAGAACTACTGCAGTTCCACCCCCAGCACGAGGAATATGCAAAGCATAAGGCTCTGAAAGCGTTGTTGGGGTCATCACAGTGGCATTTCTAACACGTGTACCGACTTGTGAAAGTCAGTTTGGTCTAGCCAACTAGCAGCATGACCAGCTCAAGCAGGGCTCATAGAAGCAAGGATGCAGCATAATAAACATACAAGAAAGCAGTCTACCAAGTACAATTGCCACTCCAGTCCACTCGGAGCACAGCTGGGAGCGTGACTGCTCTCAGAAACGCTAGCAGGTGAACGTCAAGGTGCCATTTAATAACACTAACTCAAAACACATGTTTAAGGAACCTTTTGCTTGGTCTCTGACATTGTTGAGAAGCACAGAAAGTTTCCAGTAGTACAAGACATCTCAAGAAGGGGGGGAAAAAAAAAGGGTAAGGAGTATAGTACAGTAAACGCCCCTCTTCTGCAACTGGAAGGAGCTGCTAGTTCATCGGTAGCGTCTTAGGTTAACCTTGCTACAGAGAACCTCAAGGTCTTATTTTTACACTGTCAAATTGCCAAAGCCTAAGTGCCTTACTCCCAATAACACCAGCCTGCTGGCTCATGTTGGCTGACCCAGAGTCAGTCCTTAGGGTTCCTGAAACAAAGGCTGGCTTCATGGCCAGCCCCACCCTGGAATGCAATAAGAACTAGTGAACAACCTAGGATGAACGTGCCAAGTCTTAAGTAGTTAGGAATAGATTGTAAACACCCTCGATTTTCAGTATCTCCTCCACTAGGAAGTTGACAAAACAGTCAAGGAAGGTAGAGGACAGATTAAAATAGGAATGCATCAACGTGCAAGATTTGATCTCTTCCACGTTACAGGGGTGTTGTGAGAAATGTGTCCCCACGGGTAATAGGGTATTCTTCTCCTTAACAGATTTTCCAGTCTCACCCCTTTAACATGCAAGAGAAAGGAATGATATTTAGTGATGAGTTAGTTTGTGACTACATGCATTATTCCTTGATCCATCCAGAAAGATGCATGTTTTTCAGGAGGGTTTTGGAATCGTGCGCCCTAGCTGCCATCCCTTCTTCAGCTGGTCTGACCAGGCAATTGAAAGCGTATAAAAGCTATTTAGTTTCTACTCACTAGCAAACCTGCAGCAGTGGGACAGAGAGAAGTGCCCCTAGGATCAGTGGCAGACAAGGTTCCTTGGGTGAATTTGATATCTTTTATTAGACCAACCCAAACAGTTGGAGAATAGTTATTAAGCAAGCTTTCGGGTTCAAAAACCCTTCGGCAGGCTAAGGAGGTTTCAGCAGTTGGTGTGTGCTCTTCCTGGATCAGTAACACTTCATACCTCCCCTACAAGGTAGGGAGCCTCAACAAGTGACATGGTGCAGTGAAAACCGAGTCACACAAGGAAGGGACTAAAAACAGATTCCCTCATAGCTGTAAGGCAGGAACAGTTGTTCTTTTCTGCTGAAAGCGCAACACTTTTACGTTGTTCTTGGCCTGGAAGAAAAGCCGATGATCAGACTAGACGCTGTATGAAAAGGGACACTGTGGAAACGCATCTCATTACACAGTTCTGAAGCGTCAAGTCCAAGGATCACTGGGGATGGTTCCACCAGTGCTTCCTTGTTCTGTTGATATAGCACAAGTCTGCCTCCAAATGCACACAATAGAACTGTTGTAAAAAAGCGCTCACAAGTTAATAACTTTCGTGCTGGACTCTATTTTTATTTTGGGCAGCTAAACTCGTTCTCATTGCCAAGCTCAGTATTATAGCTGGAAATAAAAGAATTTTGGCTAAGCACATATGAAGCTTTAGGTAACAAGCTTCTTTATATGATCTCATATCTTTTAGGTGATAAAATGAATGGCTTAATATAAGAACATAAAACACACCAGCATTATTCCTGCAGTGTTTGGTCTGTCCCTCTGTTTCACACTCCAGGGTTTGGGTGCAACATTGAAGTTCTTGGTATTTACTTTGTAAGGAGAAAAAAAGACCCCAAAAGACATCCTGCAATTTTATTGCAAGGACCCAATATTCACACTCACCCTCTGTGCTGTCTGAACAGGAGGTTCCAATTGCCGTGTCCCCACTGTCAGCCGTACTTGAACAGCGCCCAAAGTGACTCTGGAACTTTGCAGACAGAGTTGGGGTTTTCCAGTCAGTCTCCAGGGAACAACTCTTCTGACCTGTGCTGGAGTCTGCAGAGAGGGACCATGAGTATCGCTGCTCTTCAGAGAACTACCTATTGCTACTGCCCAAGGAGAGCCATCTGCTGTCTCTGCTGCTTGCTAGTCTCCCCCAAAGAGTAATCCTCAACCTGTTTCACCTGCTCGGTTACTTGCCAGAGAAGAGACAAAGCCTGAAAGAAGGATGACTTGGCGACTGATTTCAGAAGCGAGATCTACGTTTGCTTAACAAGACAGGAGACAGCGAATGATAGACACTTATTAGACCAAAATGCTTATCTATCCCTGCCAGGACAGGGCAAGGAATTATTCGATTTCAATTTCAGAAGTAGCATTACAATTTATTAAAAAGAATCTGAATTTGTTATAAAATCATTTTCTCAATCAGAGCCAAAAACATCTTGCCAGGACTCTGCCCACTACCGCTCACAAGTCCTCTCAGAGTACAGCATAAACCAGGGCGTCCCAACCCCCAGGCCACGGCCCGGTCCCAGGCTGCGAAGGGTCGGCTGCTGGACCAGAAGTCCGGAAGCGACCGGCACGTTGTGGACCGGCAGCCAATTGTTTTTTATACCGAGCATAAAAAAGGGTTGGCTGCCTGCCATGCCGGTCCGCAGCCACTTCTGGTCCACGGTCCGCTGGTCCGCAGCATAACAAGGTTGGGAACCCCTGACATAAACTACTTCCGCACATCTCCTTGCCGGCTAGAACTGAATCGTTACCCGTTTGACTCATCTGAGCAATTGCCGCTCGTGAAAACTTTCCAGTTAGAAAAGAACCTAGCAGCAGCCACCAAGGAACTAAATCGAGCCACTTAGCGGCGGAAGATAAGGACGCAACGCACAGCTCTCGAATCGCACCGGTCAGCTTGTTGGTGCGACTCTAAACTTGCTCTGGCGCTTTAGCAACAGCGTCAGCGCGCCGAGCGACAGCAGCTGCACGCAGAAGCAGACACGACACTGGTGACGGCGTAAAGCAGCGCTGCTAAGAACGCTTCCTGCTCCCCGCCATCTGCTTCCAGAGACGTTTGCACGTGCCCAAGCGACGGCCCGTCCCTGGACACTCGTACAACCGTCTGGTTTGGCAGACGCAGGACACGACCAGCTCGAGAAAGCTTTTTAAGACCTGATTTTTCATAAAAAGCTTTTGCTAACTCAGGTCTCTTTGGGGATTCCCATCCCCTCGGGAAGAGCCTACCGACAAGACGCGGAGGCAGCCGGGTTTTAAGGGCCGCGGGTCGTACCTGGCGGGCTGGCTCGCTGGAACCTCCGGTCCGGGCGTTTCTCAAGAGCAGCCATCGCAGCGACCCTGGTTAGCTGCAGGAGGAACAAACAAAGAGAACCAGGTTTTACACGAGCTTTCTCTCCGGCTAGCAGAGCATAAATACAACGGCTGGATTTCACTGGAAGAAAGTTACGGGCGTTTTATCAGCATCCTTTCTCCAGGGCAGAGCGGCCGATGGGCTCGTCCAGCCGGCCCCAAGGTCCCCGCGCTACATCTATTACGCAAGTAGCCGGCTAACGGCGCGCTACGTTGAGACACGCGCAAAGTGATTGTCACACAATCAACCAGTTAATCGTGCAACACATGTAGACGGGCCGCACGTGCCAAGCAATCCCCACGCCATCGACACGGCTACCCGTGAACTACCACACGATGGTTATCCAGCTACAAAAGGAGCCGAGCGAGCACTGGAGAAACAATGCCACGGCTGGTTTCCATCCCGGCGCGACCCGGACACGCAGCAGGGCCCCCGGACGACACGTTACACGTCCCGTCACGCCAGCGGTTTTCACCCTGCGGTCCGGGGGGCGCGCACACGTCTCAAGGGTCCGCGAACGATGGCAAGGAAAACGAAGGGGTTGCTCGCTGGGTACGTTTCCACCCACAATAACGACGGCTGTAAGAAGTGCTGCCCCCAAACCGGTAACGCGCTGCCACTGCGCTCGGTGGCGGGGCGCTGAAATTGGAGCGGTTCCCGCAGAGCCGCTCCAAGCGGAGCGCCGCAGCGCCACGTGTGTACGCCCCGCACGGTTAAACCGCGTGCCGGACCGCCTCGGGCCTCCCCGCGCTCACCCCTCGCCTGCCGGCTCCGTCCCCGCCCCCGCGGGCCCCGCCCCCGCGCCGTGCTCAGCCTATCCGGAGCGCCGGACCCGCCCCCGCTCCCTCCCCATTGGTCCGCAGGAAGGAGTCACCGCCCAACAGCCCCGTCCCTCCCGGGCGCGTGGGAAGGACGGGAACTGTCTCTTCTCGCGATCCGTAGGAAGGACTGGGGGGCGTTTCCAGTTCATGGCCCCGCCCACCCAAGCGAGGCCACGCCCTCTCCACCTCGTCCTCCCCCTGCAGCCCCGCGGGGGGGCGTGGAGCGCGTAACCCTTTGGGTGCCGGAGGGGAGCCGTGTGTGCGTGTGACGTCATCCGTGGGCGTGACACGTGTCCATGGGCGTGATACATCTGAGACATGGGTGTGATAGGTGTGTGTCACGTGTGGTCCGTGGGTGCGATGCATGATACAGCTGTGCGTGATGTCCATGCGACACGATCACGCCTCTATCAAACAGCATCGTACACACCCACGTAGCACGCATCACACAGATATCACACACATGTACCATAGGTATCACGCCCACGGATCACACGCGCAGCACGTGGGTGCGATACCTGTGTGTTGGGTGATCCGTGGGCGTGATACGTGTGATCCACGCAGCGCGATGCGTGATACACGGGCGTGATGTGTGCGTGGCGTGTGACACATGGGGGTGCACGATGCTGTTTGATAGGTGATAGGTTTGATAGGTCACATCACACTCACATACCTCCCATCGGTGTGTGCTAGGTGTCCGTGATGTGATCCATGTGTGTGCGATGTACATGCGAGACCATGAACTTCGTGGGTGGAGATGGACCGAACCCCGCCCCTACGGGCACTTCATGGCTAGTTGCCCGTCTACACCTTACCGAGAGAGAAGCCGGCTCCCACAGGACCTGGAGCGGGTGCCGGTGCTGTAACCAGCTGCTTGAAACAACTCAGAGAAAGCTACCAGGTTCCCTGATTAAAAAACATTTCCACCGGTCTGTGGAGGGCTTAATTAATGCTTAATTAACGCTTACCTTGCTCTTTGATGAATAGCTTCAACCTCACCATTAGTGCCGCGCTGACACGAACGGGATCGTTGACGCCAACAGACTTGGCCCCGACACAGAGAAGCGGATTCAATCCGGGAGTCGAGGGGCGCGGAGCCATCTACGGCTCTGGGAAGTTCTCCGCTGGGGAGCCGATGGAGGCAACAGCAGCAGCATCTCCCCGCCTAGGTGGATAAAGCCGCAGGACAGGAGCTTCCTGTGTCCAGACTGTCATTTCTGGGCTGCCAAAGGAAGGAGACTTTATTTTCCCCCTGAAAGCCACGGAGGCAGGAGGACTCTGCTGACGATTTCCTTGCGATCAGACGGATTAATCCCATCCGCTCTGCGGTGCCTGAAAATAGCCGGTGGTGCTGCCCAGACAGGCGGCGACATGATCTCTGCTCTGAGCGGAGACTTTGAGGTAGGCAAAAACCCCCCAAACACCTGAACTGTTTGGTGCTAAAGCCCAGCCCCAGTGGGGCACCAGCTGTTTCTCCAAGTGCCCGGCCGAGCGTC